GAAAATGTGTATGGGAGCTCTATCAAAATCTTAACCGATTTACGTTGTGCAAATTTTGGTCCAATTGGACACACCTTGGTGCAGCATTTATATCCAACTTCTAGGTTATACTAAGTTCAGTACGTTGTGCAAAAATTTGTGTCAATTTTGTGCAAAATCGGACGAAAATATACATATGTAGAAGCTATATCAAAATCTGAACCGATTACAACGAGACTTGCCAGAGCATAACTTATATTAACTACAGTTCATTGTACCAATTTGTGTGGGAATCGGACAATATTTGGGTTTTTAGTGCACAATTTACATAAAATCGGGAGAAAATATATACCTAAATCTGAACCGGTTTTCAGGAAACTTAACACACATCATTCTAGGCCTAATTCAATACGTTATGCCAAATTTCGTGCAAATCGAAAGATATATAGGGACTTTGGTACACCATTTACATTAAATCGGACGAAAATATATATGAGAGCTATATATAAATCTGGACCGATTTTCAGGAAACTTAACACACATAATTCTAGTACGCTACGCCAAATTTGGTGCATATCGAAACTTTGGTACACTATTTACATTAAATCGGACGAATATATATAGGAGCCATATCTGAACCGTTTTTTCTCAATTTTTAAAGGGTTCGTCCTTGGCTGAAATAGGTAAACTATGCCAAATTTCATCCAATTCGGATCATAAATACGACCTGTACTTTGTTTACAATTTAACATGATTCTATGCATAGACATAATAGATATAATAGACATAATACCCTGTACCACAGTGTGGTGAAGGGTATAATAATAAATTTTCCAAGAATGTTTGTGTCTTAAGTCTTTTGTTTTGGTATCTACGCGAAAAAATGAATTTTAAGTGGTTATTTATACTCTTTCGAGTCGAGCTTGGTGATCTAAGTTTTGCAATGAAAAGGAAAGCCAGGAGAAGAACCTACGTACCCACCATTATGCGACGCGTTTCGCCGTTGGTTAAGCGGCTCATCAGGCATATTGGGCTATGTGGCTTTACAAATGTCGTACGTTGATAACTTGTATTTATTCCGCCCTGATGCGAAACTTGCATATGCGAATTAAATTCAAATTTGTCAAAGTTCGACATTAGTCTTCATTAAAACATTTACAACGTATTTTTGATATGTTCATTTTTTGCATAGATTGTGCATACCAAAACAAAAGACTTAAGACACAAACATTCTTGGAATAGTTATTTTTTTCATTTATTAATTAATTATTATAATGAAATAGATTGAAATTCCTGTGCAGTGACGAATCTGAAATGTGTCTGCGGATATTGTTTATGAAGCAAATTAACGCAAAATACAACAACTTTAGCACACCTTAAAAAATTAAAATCCACTTCAAAAATGAATCAGAATTGAATTTAAAAATTTCTCTAGCAATCAATAAAAAAATATTTTTAGAGATAGTTTCAATATTCAGGCTTAGTTCGGCAGAAACATATTCTTGCTCATTTTGTTACAATAAAAGTCGATTCGACATACATCAGATAACTTTAGATTGATCTGTTACCGTTGTTTCAGCAGTTGTTCTCATTCCGTTTTATTTGTTTTTATAATTAAGACTGCACTACCTTCCCTCAAGCTTCTTTCATTCTTCACACATCGACTGGCAATGGCCGTTTGATTTCATTCAAACATTTCATGTGAACATACCTTTAGATTTAATGGAACTTCCACAAAAACAACAAAAAACCAGACATAAAACAAAAACAAAAAGGCATTGGCAAAAAAAAAAACGTTTATTACCTTCAAGCTAAGAGTCGTTTATAAAGCTAAACAAAACAAAAATAAAACTATTCATTAAGTTAAACAAACAAATAAAAAAACCTCCCATATATAAAAATAATACACAAGCATACATATGTAATATATGTATTAGTGAATGTGCATTTTGTCTACACATGATTACAAATAAATTAAAAATATATATATATATACAAAATGTTTCAAATTAAAGGGAGGCGGTTTAATGTTAAAAAAATAAATATTAAAAAAATTAAAATTGTTTTTTTTTTAATCAAAATATTTAAAAAAATCAAATTTTTTGTCGACAATTTGAAGAGGATTAAATTAAAAAATATATATATATATATATGTTTTGAATTTTATTTAAATTTTTTTTTCCAATTCATATAGGCATGGATTTTTTTTTAAATATTTTTTAACAATTGCCAGATTTTTTAAGTATATAACTATTTTTTTTAATTCGTTATTTTTCAATATGTACAAAAATTAAGCCGGTTTAATGTACATTTAGAGAATCAAAAAAAAAAATAAATAAAATAAAAACAGTCAATTCCCGGTATATTTCTATGTCGTTGTCTTTTGTCATTTTCTACCTTCTACCAGCATCTACATATACACACACATTTTAAACATATATATGTACATATATTTGGCAAAGTATAACTAAAGTTGAATGGTGATGATGTGAGATTTTGACCTTGATTTGTTGCCCACAACAATGCCGGTCATAACGATGATAACAACAACATGCACAATATTGGTAGAAGCAACAAACAAAGTTGTATAATAATTTCGAACTGAATAGTGTTACGTACATGGGCCAATGTGGGTATGTAGTTATGTGTTCACATACCCAAATGTGGAACTCCAACAAAATTTCCTTTTTTTTTTTTTGAACACTCCCCCAGAAAAAAATACAGAATAAAATATTAATATTTTAATAATAGCTAATATAATTAAATTGAAAAAAATAGAAACAAGTTTCACGTGTGGAAATTGAGGTTGAGTGTGTTTGTTTCAAACCAGTATTGTATGGCGTGAAAATGTATTAATTTGTGGTCAAAGAATTGGGTTACATTCGGTTCAATTTATTATCAATTATGTGAAGAGGAAAGGAAATACAAAAGTAACGTTAATGACACAGTGTATCAAAAAAAAAAAAAAATTAAATTAAAATTTTTTGTTTTTATAAAAAAACGTCTATTTATTAGTGGGGAATGTGTGGCATTGTCCGCCGAGGAGTAAGGCAGACTATAGATTCGGATTTTGCCACTGATCCTCATCAGATCTCTTTGTTTTTTGTTGGAATATTCTCCCAAGAAGCTATTTATTGCTTCTTTATAAAAAAATCTTTTTGATCGATACGCAACACTATTAAATTTTTTTTTCAATCAGACACCCATTCGAAATACGTATGGAAGCTATGGCTGCATCTGCACCAATTTCAACAAAACACAATAACGCCATTCAAGTCACAATTTGATACGTTGTGTTAATCGCACAAACATTAGGAGTTTTGTGTTTCATTTATGTAAAATCGGACGAATATATATGTATATGTGGGAGCTATATCGAAATCTGAAGCATTTTTTCCGAAACTTACCACACATCATTCAAGACTCAAGGATATATAGGGAAAACGCAAATCGAATGATATAAAGGGACTTTGGTGCACTATTTACCTAAAATCGGACGAAAATATATGGGAGCTATATCTAAATTTGAACCGAAATTTAACACGCATCATTCTAGCCTCAATTCATTGTGTTATGCCAAATTTCGTGCAAATCGATGGATATATAGGGACATTGGTGCACCATTTACATAAAATCGGACGAAAATATATATGGGAGCTATATCGAAATCTGAACCGATTTTCCCGAAACATACTACTCATCACTCTAGATTCAATTCATTACGCTATGCCAAATTTCGCGCAAATCGAAGGATATAAAGGGACTTTGGAGCACTATTTACCAAAAATCGGACGAAAATATATATGGAGATATATCTAAATTTGAACGAAATTTAATACACATCATTCAGGACCTAATTCAGAACGTTATGCCAAATTTCATGCAAATCGAAACATATATATGGGCTTTGGTGCCCCATTCACCTTAAATCGAATAAAATTATATACGGGAGCTATATCCAAATCTGAACCTTGGCCAATTAAGGGGGCTGTGCCAAATTTTATTCAAATCGGATCATAACTGCGGCCTGTACTTTGTTTATAATTTAACATTTACAGACGGGCGGAAATGCATAAATCGACTCAGAAAGTGATTCTATGCATATTCTCGAAAGATATATTGGGACTTTGATGCCCCATTTATCACAAATCGGACGAAAATATTTATGGGAACTATAACAAAATCTGAACCAATTTTCCCCAATTTCAATAGGGTTCGTCCTTGGGCCAAACAAATGAGCTGTACCAAATTTCATCCAAATCGGATCATAAATGTGACCTGTACTTTGTTTACAATTTAACATCTACAGATGGACAGACGGATGGACGGACATGCATAAATCGACTCAGAAAGTGATTCCATGCATATTCTCAAAAGGAAACATGTGTCTATCTCGTTTCCTTTTGCCTGTTACAAACATATGCACAAAGACATAATACCCTGTACCACAGTGTGGTAATGGGTGTAAAAACTCTACGCCTTCTGAAAATGTTGAAAATAATTGTTTAAAAATCCACACCTTCTGAAAATGCTTAAAATATTTTTTAAATAAAAATATGGGAATTGTTGAAAATAATACATTTTTAAAATCCAAAAAATTCACGCCTTATGAAAATGTTGAATATTTAAAAAAAATCGATGCCTAAAATGTTTGACAAACAATTTCAAATTCTCGACTTAAAAAACTAAAGAATAATGTTGAAAAAAATGCGTTCTTTATAAAAATATTGAAAAAAAAATTAAGAAATCCATACACATGTTAAAATGTTTTCCAACGCCTTATGAAAATGTTGACAAAATATTTTTAAGAAAAAAATATCGACGTCTAAAAGAGGAATATTTGGCTCTTTTTAAAAAATTTAAGAAAATCTACAATTTTTTCATATTGAAAAATTATTTTATTTATTTATTTTTATTTTTCCAGTTAACATAACACCTCCCGCCACTATGCAGCTATATTGAAAGTGTGTGCACAAATATTCCTCACAAAACAACAACAACACAAAAGTCACGAAACAAAAATGCCACGAAAACTTTTAAAATTTCTCATAATCTTCGATAATACCTCATTGCTATATTTTCCCGGGCAATTTCTCTCCGGTCGAGTCCTTCTCGAACTGCAAGATGACACCCCCGCTCTGGGTTTACATTTCCATGTTGTCGGCGAAGGTGTGGTGCGTGCCGGTTCGGCACGACAAGAACGTGGTACATATGACAAAGAAAATTATATAGATTTTCGTATGCGTCTGCTGGGTGATGTGGATCAAGGACCCACAGTCCTCTCACCGGGCATACATAGTTTCCCTTTCAAATTGGGTCTACCCATGGGTTTGCCATCGACATTTTTGGGTCGCTACGGTTGGATACAGTATTATTGTAAGGCGGCGCTGCGGGAAACTAATGGTCTGATACATAAAAATCATCAGGTATTCATTGTTATGAATCCAATCGATTTGAATATGGAGAAGCCAATATTGTCGGTATGTAAGCATTGAATTTTTAATGGAAGGGTATGTTTTTAAATTTGACATTTTTTTTTTTTTTTGTAGCAACCCTTCACCTGTGAGGTGGAACACAAAATGGGTGTGGCCTGTGTGGGCGGAGGCCTGGTAAAGTGCCGTGTTGCCTTAGATCGTGGTGGCTATGTGCCGGGCGAGAGTGTCCTTGTAACGGCATTTATTTCTAATCATAGTAATGTTACCATTAAAAGGACCAAAGCATCTTTAACAGAGGTAGGTTGAAACTCTCTTTTCCTTTTTTCAAAATCCCAACAATTGTTCTTTGTTTCTTTTTCCAGACTGTTGAATATTTGGCTCGCGGTAAAGTGGTGCAAACTGAAAAGCGTGCTTTAGCTGTCTTAGTCCGAGGTAAAATCCGTCCCGGTGGCAAAGATGAATGGCAAAATGATAGCCTCTATGTGCCACCCTTGCCACCCACAAATCTCCATGGTTGCCATTTAATACGTATCGCCTACGATGTGTTCTTTGTCATTGAACCCAAGTCGCTGGAAAAGGAAATCAAATTGCAGCTGCCCATATTATTGGGCACCTATCCATTCCGTTCGCCAGCCAATGATATTTCAAATACATGGCCGGATTCGGTGCTTAAACCAGATACCCATTATCCCTCATCATTGCCAATATTCCGGCCTTGGTTAAATGATAAACCGGAAAACTAAAAAAATACGAAATAACAGATACACCAACAACAATCATCATTAGCAAGATGAAGAGAAAAGTGATTTTATTAATTTTTTTGTGTATTAAAAATGTTTGTTAACAATTCAAAGCGGATTTAAGAAATTCCAAATATGGAAAATGTTAAACAAAAACAAGACTTAAATGTACTGAGAAAGAAAATCTAGTAGTGGATGAAGTAATTCGATAAAAACTGTATTGCATTTTTTTTTGGCACGCAATCATTCAATTTATACACCTACATCATTCAATGTTGAGGTTATATATGCGAAGATGGTAATCAAGTTGAATTATTTTAAATTAGCCGCTGATTTGAAATTTCTGAAAAAATGCTTCCGGCCATACAATGTTCTTCGTTTTTGTGAAATTGAAATTTTTGATGTTTTGTCTTAAGTATAAGTTACTTATATAATTAATTATATTATTAATAAAATATATATACTGAAAAATGTTTTTCTTCTTCTTTTGTCTGTAATAATCTATTATTATTAAATATTCTATTTTTTATTATAATATTAATTAATAAGCTGTGTGTATAATAAATGCTTACATGTTATTATTTTTTACTATTTCAATACTGACTTGAATAAAATGAAATCACGAATACAAAAAAAAAACGTTTATATTTGAGACATAATTGTTGTTGTTTTCTGGAAAAAAAATAAATAAATTATGATCGAGTATAATTTTTGGAAATATCCGAATTTTCCCATTGATAGTAAATTCATTCCAACCTCAATTAGTATGCTAAATGCCTTTAGACACCAGTAAGGGAAAGAGCAAAGTCGAACGAGGGTTGACAATAGGTTCGTTCGTTTACTTTCCCAGTAATATTTACTCAGTAAGAATATGCAGAGAGTAAATACGAATTTTTCCTTTTCAAGAGAGAAAACTGCAAAAAGTAAACGAACAACATCCAGTAAAAAGATTGCTTCGACACAGCTGATTAAAACAACAAACAAATTGGCGCAAACATTCCAGACATGTTAGGGATGCACACTTTTTCGTTTGGATTTGGGACCTAAAAATCGTTCGCCAATTACTCTTGTATTACCTTATTTTTAAATACTTGCGTTTTCTTCATCCATTTTTGTATTTAATGATACAAAATCAAAATAAAATGTTTACATAACATAACAAAACAGCTGATTAAATATCAGCTGATGGTACAAGAAAATTCTTACTGAGTAAATTTTCCTTGTAAGAATTTGCAAATACTCAGTAACACAACTGTCAAATCTGCTCTCTCAATTCACTCTCTTTTACTAGGATTTTGGGTAAACGAACAACATTTTGTAATAATTTGTACAAATTATTGAGTAAACGAACGAACCTAATATACTAACCTACAGCGTTGTATGCACTAGGTGCTCTTAGGATACAATATCTTAAACAATTTTAATAATTTCTACATTGCAGTTCATCAGCTGATGGGTGCTATAGCTCCACATTATATGGCGGTTATCTTGAAAATTAAAGCAATTAATAGTATTTGTTAGAACGATTTGCTACCAACTGAGAATTCTAAATACTAAATTATAGCCAGGTCGGTTGAAAAATAGTACAAAAAACCTAAAAATTGTGCTTACCATTATATAGGGCTATCTTAAATATTAATATTTGCTTCCAAATGTTAATTTGAAATACTAAATTATAGCCAATTCGTTCGGTTAATTTTCCCAAAACTTCCCAAAATACCGAAAAATGTGGAGTATCATTATATGGGGGCTATCATGAAAAGTAGACAGATATCGATATTTGGTATTCTGATCTAGGACATATATTCTCTATGGGGTCTCCGGTGAATATTTCGAGACATAAATATTGAATTTGTAATATGGTTCTATGACTGATTTGCTGGTCACTATTTTACTTCATATTCACCACATTATGTTCTCAATGATGGCCACTGTCTATCCGAATGATTGTCCATTTTATGGCTGTTTGTTTACACATCTCTATCAGATGTAGATCTTTAGACTTGGCAATTTTAAATCAAAACGAAAGTTTAATGAAATTTCATATACCCCCTTTCATAAGATTGGAATCATGTTATTCATTATGTAGAAATTTTTAAAATCGGGAAATATTTTGTATTGTCTCAATAAAATTTATGTTTTTGCATTCGTGATTTAAAAAAACTAAATCTTGATTTTCTTATACGGTTCTATGACGGATTTGATTTTCACACTATTTTTACTTCATATTCACCACTTTAGCTTTCAATAATTGATGGTCATTGTCTTTGCCGAATGATTGTCCATTATGTATGGTTCTTGTTGTTGATCCCATGTCACAAAGAAACTATTTTTCTTCAAATCTAATACACTTTCCTTTGCTACAACTGATTCTTTCTAACCTAGACGCCGCTGATGCTGCTGCCGCTACATTAAAATCATAATTAATGAAATAATCACAATTAATACTGTCTCCTACGTAAAGTGCTTAAGTAAATTCGTAAATTTCCAATGCAGTTCATGCATGAATTCATCAAAACGCACAGCCAAAGCTCTGTGCTATGTGGCACGGCGATTTGTGTTGCCCGATCTTTGGATGACACAGCCTTTAAACGAATTCAGGCGTACATCTATTTCACCTTCCTCGAGCTGTAAATAACAAAAAAACGAAAATCAATAATTGATTAAATTTTCTTCATGTCCTTAAAAACCTACATCATCAAATGCATAAATATCCTGATAACAAGAATACGAAATGCAACGTCGCACACAGGCCTTGCGTTTAACACCCTCCAATGTCTCGCAAGCAACATGTTGTTCACAGTTTACCTCAAAGTCATGATAGGTTATTTCCTGCATGAAATGATTTGGAATTAATTAATAAACGTTTAGACCACCAGCAAACACAACCACCCACCCACCAATAACTGGGCTGACCTACTTACATTCTTACTTGTCTCCTTGTAGGCATATTCGGGAAAATGAAAAGTCGCCGCCTTGGCCAATGGTCGGCCATCTGAACCCAACTCCTGGTCATTGGATGATGCTGCCACTATTGATTGTATTAGCAATGATAGCATTATACCACAAAAGGGCAATTTATATCGTCCGAGATTGAACATTATTCTAAAATTTTTTAATTTTTATTTTGTTTCGTTTTTTGTTACTTCGTGCAAAGATTGTCAGTGGTTGAAAATTATGTCCTATGTCCTTTCACATGTTCTAGTCTAACGGTAATGCTGGTGTTGGGGTAGTAAAAGGAATAAAATATCCAGCTTTTTACACATTGAGAGAGCTGAGAGAGAGAGAGTATAAAAAATGTAAACAATGACAAGGTTGTGTTTTTATGGTAATAAGGACGAAAAGTCTGAACGAATATAAAACACCCTAAATTTATCGTGAGTTTTCGAAAAAATATATGTTTGGATTGTCCTTTATAGATTTGAAGTTCCATATAAAGGCCCCCAAATAGGCGAATTTGTACTAATACCTCCTTACAAAAAAGAGTCTCAATTTTGAAAAATCGCAAAACGTAATGAAACATGTTTAATAGGTGTCCCCCATAAGCATATAACACATGCCTACTATGCGAAAGTCATTTTGTTTTTTTGTCGTATGTTCTTACCTAAGTTTTTTTTTTAATTTCGGAGTTTCGGTTTCATTTTTATTATGCGGACATATACTACATATAAGTATAACGACAAATTTGGAGGGTTTTAGGCTCATTTTTCTAGCGAACCGATGTTTCCTTTTTTTAAATAATATTTATCTAATAATTTGTACAAATTATTACATAATTTCAAAAGTGGTGAAGAGAGTGAATTGAGAGAGCAGATTTACATGTGTTACATACAAATTCTTACAAGGAAAATTGACCAACGAAGTGGCTGATATTTAATCAGCTGTTTTGTTATGTTTTGTAAACGCAAAAAATTTTCAAGAAAATTGATTGTTTTGTGAATTTTATTTTGGTTTTGATTTCAAAATTAAAGTATTTAAAAATAGTAATTACTTTCTGACAAAAAATGTGCATTATAACCCCGGTTATGTCCACCCCCATATCAATTGCAGATACAGGAATAACAGGTCACAACCCATATATGGGGAACAAACAACATCAATTTTTTGTTATCCATTTTTCATAAAAATGCTGTTTTATATCCGCCAATTTGTTTGTTGTTTTAATCAGCTGTGAGAACAATCTTTTTACTGGATGTTGTTCGTTTACCAGTTTTCTCTTTAGGAAAAAGTTATTACACCTAAATAGTTGTGTTTTCTAATATTTATTCTTTTGAAGAGCCGAGCTGCATTTTCTAAGGAGATTTTAAGGAGAACAATCGACCTCAATTGCCAAATTAAATGCAGATTTCTTAGAGGATAGAATACCTTGTGGTTGTGAATGTTCTTTATATGTTTATGTTTGGAGATACAGGCCTATTTTGAAGGTCAGTGTAAAGTAATTTGGTATTTCGTTTCCTGAGAGGATAAATTTCCTTGCAGATAATTTTCGTTATACATGTTAAGATTGAAATAAATAAATAATCATATTTATTTTAACATTGCCCCCTTGATTTTAGTTATTTCAAAGGTCCAACCGAAGTTTCTGTAATAAAAAATCAAAAAGTATACTTGCAGACAATTTACTATAAATGTATTTATTTTGACATAGTTCCAATATAAGGTATTTATTTTGACTTAGTCGCAATATAAGGCAATATTTGAATGTATTAGCCCAATTTTCCAATGGAATAGACTCTTTTTTTCACACATCCCCACATAAGTTTTCGGATAATTCAGTGTTTTTATATGCAACTTCTCATCTTTTAGCTCTTCTTTTTTAGGGAAAAAATTTCAAATTTTCTTCTTTGATTCCTATAATAATATAATTCCTATAATACACCCTGTATATCGAAATAACTATACATATTGCGCATGAGTTCAATGAACTTGACCCACCATAATGTGTCGTCATTATCCTTCTTTACAATACAAAAAACACATGACGTCAGATTAATATAGCAGAACACATGGTTTTAACTTTATGGGTATATTTGTTTATCTTTTTTATTTTATTTTTTCCTGATTATTTTTTTAATATCAAATTGAATTATATATAAAAAAATATATATATAAAAAAAACACATTTAATTAAGCTACAAAAATTAACAAAAATATATACTAAAAAAATCATTCACAGCTACAAAATTTATACACTTATCACCAAATTTATTGCAAAAACAAAATAATAATCAGGAAATGCTGAGGTTTTTTTTGTTGGTTACATGGCATAAATAAAATATTATGCTCTAAATATCCTCCTTCCATTGTAAATGTAAAGTTATTTATTTTCTAAATATTTCCTAGCATCTTCAACCTGAAAAAGAAAATAAAAATGTATAAGATTATAAAATTCTCTATAAAAAATATTATTTTAGTTAATGTGATGGAAAACAACTTGATTCGAAACCATTTATATATTAAATGGGATCAAAGTTTGATATAATTGAATTTTGAAAAACAAATAATACGTTCTCTTTGCTTTCCACCACATTACCTCAATATTTACCAATTTAAACCACGGCGAATGGGTCTTGAAAACAAAACTATTCATCCAGCTCATGGTGGAACGTGGCGCAATGCCATGTAAATGTAAGTGATGGACACTGATAAAGGGCGGCATATGAAAACCAAATAAGGCATCTTCCGTATCAATACCCTTAGATATGAAAAATTCCTTCATGGCTTTTTCCAAGTCATTTACTACAACAACAAAAAAAGACATTTAATGTTTGCAAAAATTCTAAACAACAATATAATTTTTTTTCACTTACCTAATGGTATATCATCTTTTGTCATGGTCTTTAGACTCTCTACATGCCGTTTGGGCACCGCCAAATAATGATGGGTTGACGCAGGTTTTATATCTTTAAATATCACATATTCATCGGTCTCCACTTCGATGACAGCTTCCTTGGTATGGTTGATTATCTGACAGAATATACACGGAGCCATTGGATCATAGGGTGGCGGAGCCAATACGATTTTGTACAATATATAGGTCAGTAGCAGTGATGATGTGAAGACGGCAATGCAAAAATATTTTTTGATTTGTTTAGAGTTTATAGTTTTCACGTTCTTCTTCTTCATCGTCGTCTGCTTTATTTCGTTGTAGTTTGTCGTCGTCTTTATTTTGTTATCTTTTTTCGTCATATTGTTCTTCGTTTGTGTATTTTGATAACCAAAACAACTATAGTTAGTTTCTTTTTGTTGTTGTTGTTGTTAGTGTTGTACAATCTGAAAGATACATTCAGCGATTAAGCGGTTACTTTGTGGACATTTCATTGTAATAAAATAAAAAATACTAAAAATAAAGAAATATTATATAAATTCAATATATATGACAAGAACAATGGAACAAAGATTGATCTCCCATATATATATATATATATATATATAATGCCATTAACGTTAATGTATGAGGTCATTGGATCTATCACTTGCAAATAGTCCGGGTGCAATTGACATGGTAGCAATACATATTTAAATTCTCTTCGCAATAGTTAAGGTAGAACTTTGCAATTTTGCACATATATTGCCACTACTTCTAGGATGTTTGGTATTGGAAATGGGATGAATCGTTCTACGTTTTGGTATAGCCCCCCATATAACGATACCTCCAAAAATTCGATATTTTCACAAAATTTTTATCCTCATTTGTTTGCAATTTGGTATTTTGAGTTCTCAATGGATAGCAATTCTCCCTACCAGAAATTATTGATATTTACTTTTTATACGGTACCTCCAAATATACAATATTTTTCCACGTTTTTTTAACCCAATTGGCTGCAATTTGGTACTTTGAGTTCTCGATGGATAGCAAATCTCCATACCAAAAATTATTGATATCGGTCCACCTTTAATACTGGCTACCATATAACGGTACCTCCAAATATTCTGTATTTTGGAATCTCGGGCTAGAAAATCGGTAATTCAGGAGATATAGGCCTTCAAAGTTCCGTAGGGATCCTTGTATTTGCTAATGATATTTAAAATTTACTGGGCAATATGGGTACCAGTTTAAAGCGGCTACCAACAAAAACGCATATTGTTTTTCAGAATTGAAGAAGGGTCCCGCGGGGTTTTGGAGACTTATATCTCAGAAAGTATAGATTTATTTGATACGAATTTTATATTTTTTAAATACTTTAAATTGATACCGATATTGCCTTAGTAAATATTAAAAATCATGAGCAAATTCAAGGGTCCCAAAGGAACTTTTGAGACCCATATCTCCGGAAATAGTGATTTCCCAAAAAAAGTATACCATTGTAATCAGGACTACATATGGTAAAAATTTCAAAACGATCCGTGAGGGGGCCCTAATCTAGACTTGTTCCAAAAATCAACTGAATTAAAAAGTAATCATCTCGGACTATGTTTTATTACAACATGGAGCCACTGTAAATATATTATCTATAATTTCACTTTTTATGATTTTCAATCCACGCTTAAATATTTAAAAAAAATTGTTCAATTTTATTTTTCTTGTTGTTGTAGAAGAGAAAGCGATACATACCAATATAATGCAGACGTCAAGCTCTGGACCCGAACTGATTTTTTATTACTTCGTTGACCACTTATTTCGATTCGAGTAAATATTCAATATTATTCCACGACAATATTTGTTTTGTTTTCTCTTTTATGATAATGTACCGTTTATATTAGAGGGGAATCGGGAATTGAAAAACGTTCCACTTTCTAAAGAATGGGGGAGAAGACAAAATGACCGATAAAGAACAACTCATAGTAGGTTAATGAAATATTTATGAATGAGCATTTACCTGCGTTAGTGGAACAAGTAACGTAAGGATAACACAAGGCAATATAAATTTGTTGATTAGCCCCCAAAATTAAATGTGCGATTATTAAAAAAATAAAGCCTACGCTTATTAAAAATTCTTCCCATGTAAATTTTAAGAATATGTTTTTATAAAGACCCTTAATGCGAATATTATTTCAAAATCTACACCGAGGGGACTTTAGAAATATTATTAAAAATCTACACTTATATAGGTCATTGGCATATTTTTTAGATTCAAAGCTTAAAGAGGTCCTACTAAAAATATTATTAAAACTACAAGATTTAAAAAAAATAATGCAAGTTTATATAAGAGATTAATCCTGGAAATTAAAAAAATAGTATTATAAAGATCTTAAAAACAAATATTAAATGGACTAAAAGAGCTAGATGACCTGAAAAACCCGAATTAGTTCTGATCATTCCTTTCACGGAATAGTTCCTATGAACAATTAGTTCAATCGCTAGTTTTGTACAGATGAGAATTTTCGACAGCGGATCGACTTAATTTTTTTAATAGAAATAAATTAAACAATAACCGGATTATATCTGAAATATTTACTGTATTTAAACAATAAATATGTAATATAATAAATAAAGAAATTATTTAAACATTCGAAGTGCTGAGAACTGAAAACAACAAACAATAAAATAAGGAAAGGTGTTTGTTCGGTGGTGGGCGGATTAAGCCGCATTAATTTCTACTATCCTACTGATAACATTGAGAGCGAAGCAATTTAAATAAAAATAATTTGTTGTACAAAATGAATGAATTAAAGGCACCATCACTGAATTCTCTATTGGGTTCGGATCGAGGTTCTACAGACAGTCTACTGGCCGAATCATTGATTGATGTTGAAGAGGTTCGTATGGTTGGGGGTGGGGTTTTTTTTAAACATATGATTTGTTTACATTTGATGTCATTTGTTGTTGTTGCTGCTTTCTTTGCAGTTGGACGATGTGGAATACTCTATACCACCATCGGGTGCTTTGCCCTCATTGGAAAAGGTCCTAAGTGAATTCGAAGAAGATTCGGATATTGCTTCCGAATTGGGTATACCAACACCTTCAATTGCAGAGGAGGGTAGTGTACGTATGGGAGGTATAGCGGGCGGTGGAGGCGGAGGTGGTGGCAGTATTATGCGCTACGCCATGCTTCAAGGTGTCTCTACCCAGCTATCATCGGCTAGTGATCGCATAGGTGCCGGTATGGCATCATCCTGTGCTGTATGCAATCATTATTATGCAGTCGGCACATCACATGGCCACATACTCAATTTCGATGCAACACAAACATTACGTTGGGCCCATCAGGATAAAAACGGCCAAGGCGCCGTTTCATCGTTATCCTTCAATCCGGAGTGTAATCGTTTACTGGCTGGCTTTGCCCGTGGCTTGGTTTTAATGTTGGACACACAAAGTGGCGATATTATGCGTCAATTATTCGATGTTGTCACACCCAATACTGGGATTCTACATGTCAAATGGACGTCACGGCCGGCAATGGCTTTGGCCGCCGATTCTGGTGGATCTGTGTGGTCTTTAAGTTTTACACGAAAATTGGGTGTACGTGGTTGTTCAACACGCTGCCTATTTAGTGGAGCCCGCGGCGAAGTATGTGCGGTGGAGCCGTTACTCAGTCAATCCGGTGAACATCATGATCTTGATCAATATTGCATTGTGGCTTTGGCCACCCTCTCGAAATATTTCATTGTCACCATAAGGCCAAGATTGAAAGTTATCAAATATCATTTATTGCAAGGACCACCAGATTGTCTGCCCGTCTTGGCATGGCAAATGGTTCTAATACAAGCTGCAGATACTACCAGATCCATTGATCCGGTTTTGGTAGTGGGTCGTGGCAATCAATTGTTCTTCCATCAACTGTTTATATCGCACGGACGTATAACCCTACTGCTCTTGCGGCACATTACAATGCAAACAAATATTTTATCGGCCCATTGGCTGGGTCCCAAATGTGTTGGGTGTATAGATACCTCGGAAATACTACATCTCCTAGATGTACGATCGAGTAAAGAATTGGAGTGCATTGATTTGGGTAATGCCAGTATGGTTTATGGTTCGGCTCAATTTAAGGGTTTGGCAACGGGTGGCAATGTGTCGCCGGCCTTGGCTTTGGCGGGCACACACGCCTGCTACAATTCCTTGGCTGCACGTGGTGTGCAACTATATGTTTTGGGTTCGAGATCGATGCATTTAATTGGTGTACGAACATGGATGGAGAGGATTACATATTTGGTAAGCTAAATATAAATGGGATTTGTAGAAGAATTTTTTTTCAAAAATAAAGGCTTTTTTATATTTTAGGTAAAAAATCACCGCTGGCAAGAAGCATGCGACTTAGCTTTGGATGGCTATCGAGCTGCTGGTGATCGCCCAAAACGAAAACTTCAAGCCAAGGAACGTATTATAATGCTGTTCAAAGAATATATAGCAGCATCTGCCCGAGCACCCGATTATTGCCTGGGAGCCATTATAAAGTGTCTCATTGTAGTCGATGAGCTAGACTTGTTATGGACCCAGTTATGGGAACGTTTGCAAAATAAAGAACTATTTCTTCACCATATTACCCAGCACATTGAAAATGATGATATACGTCAAGTAAATCCAATTATTTCACAAGCCCTCGTAGACTATTGGTTAAAAATATCACCTGCCAAACTGGAAGATGTCATACTCAAAATGGATTGGACATGTCTGGATTTAAATCAAGTTCTAAAAGCAGCACGAAAATATAAATTATATAAAGCACAAATCTACTTAAATGCAAATGCATTGCATGACTATACAATGTCTCTGACCGAATTGATACCATTGATTGGTAGCGAACCACCAGATTTGGGTAATTGTCTGCTAGTGTATATATCAAGTTGTTTGGCCGGGCGTGGTTATCCTCAAGGTGATATTCCAGAAGAGTTGATACAAAATGTTAAACATGATGTTCTACGTTGCCTGACTTCTTTACATTCCACAACAAGTGAACCCAATGAAATGCCATATCCTTATTTAAGGGCATTGCTGAAGTTCGATACCCGTGAAACATTGAATGTTATATCGTTGGCCTTTCAGGAGAAAGAATTCAGTAATGAATTGGGTTATTCACATCGTAAACGTATTATAAATATTTTATTGGAAATTATGACGCCAGAAAATAATACGGTAAGTTGGGAAATATATTTTTTCACCTGTTATTATTTTAAAAATGTTTGTTTTTAATTTTTTCAACAATTTTATTGGGCGTGGTTTTTTAATAAAATTTTTTTCAATAATTTTATTTTTTTAATATTATTTTAATTTTTTTCAATAATTTTATTAAACTTGGATTTTTAATTTTTCTCAATAGTTTTGTTATATACTTTTATTTGTTCATCTCCTTTTAGTGGTCCGAAATTGGTTGCCTATTGAATTTTATTGCCCAACAAATATCGGAATCCTGCCTACCCTGCGATACCCAGCTATTGGAAAAAGTATTAAATTACCTTTCAATGGAAACGATCGAAAATGAAAGTTCCCGCTTACATTCGGAACGTGAAAATGCCTGGTATGAATTGCTTGTAAATAATTGCCTTGATGCCATTAGCAATGATGAGGAGCAATTGGCATTAGCCAAGAAAGCCCATTGTTATTATGTCCAAGAATATCTTTTGGAAAAATTGCAGCGTTATGATGAAATTTTAAGCTGTTATATTAGCAATCCGCTGCGACATGAAACTATGTTTGTGTACATGGAACGTTATGCCCGCGAAACAAATCGTAAAATCTATCAACAGCTGAAACAGCATTTGAAGCAATTGCTAGAAATCGATGGCAAGGAAACGACGCGGATTGTGGATTTATATTATCGTGATATGGTTGATGAATTGCTGCAACTGCTGGAGGACGATGAGCGTTTTTTGTTTATATTCCTCAAACAGTTGCAACAAAGAAACGATGATCTGACGTCTGAGCAGAGTGAAAAGTTAATCAAATTCCTGTGTAAATATGAACCAATGGAGGTGGAGGAATTTTTAAAAGCCTGCAATTGTTACCGAATCGATGCCGCCTTGGATTTGGTTTTGAATTATAAATTGTTACCAGCCGCCGTATTTTTGGCGGAGAAACAAAACGACTATAAATTGGCATTTCATTTGGCAATGGAAATTTTAAAATCAGCCGGGGTGGAAGAAATGGAGGAGTGTGCAAAATCTGTATCGGCATTATGCAGTCGTTCCTCTTCGTCGACCAAATCACAATTAAACGAAAAAGAACGTGAGTCATTGTGGTTTGAGTTGCTAAAATACATTTTGCCTCTGGAGAATTTGAAGAATATTACCAAACCCATGTTGCATGAGGCCTCCCAGCATGTTGACCTAACAAATCTGGTGCAATTGGTAATGAACACCCACAATGTATCGGGTAATTTTGGTGATATCAAAGAACTTCTGTTGAGCATGTTGAATCAATCAAAAGCCGAAACCAATGCCATGGAAATTGCAATGCGTATTTTAGAAAAAGAAGTGGCTGAGAAATTCCACAATCGAAAAAAGCTGGCCTCACGAGGTTTACTTATAACCATGATGCAATGTGTGGCGTGTAAGCAACGTTTATATAATCAAGCTGCCATAGTTATTTTAGGTTCCTGTGGTCATGCCATGCATGCCCAATGTTCGAATGAATTCCAGAAGCAACATTATATGAAATGTGAAAATGCTGCTGGTGGTGACTATGATGATGACAGTCCCTCCACATCGTCAAGCAGTCGAAATATTAGCCAACAGCTGTCACACAATCTTATGGAAGATGCTGTGATAATGCAATGTCCACATTGTTTGGGCGGTATTGAAGAAGCAAAAATTGCAATGCCACTACAATTAGCCAAACCTAGTCACAATGTTATTCACTTTCATACGAAATTGTCGAATGGAAAATATCAGAATGGAATGGCGTCGTTGTCGTCAGCGGTGACACCTTGTAAAGAGTTGGGGGTATTGCATTTAAAATCACCACCTAGGAAATTTTAAATTGCATTCATTTTTTTTTTTTCGTTTCAATAAATCAAAAAACACACACACTTTTTTATGTGATAAATATATAAGGAGAGCCAGATGTGTATGAAATCTAAACCTATAGGATATATTATTGTAAGTTGTTATATTAAAAAAAAAAAAACAGTTTTGTATGTGGCACCCCCATTCATACATGTTTTCAATTCTCACAAAAAATCTAGATATCAAGTGATAGACATTATAGTAAATATCTCAAAAATTAACTTTCTTTGCCAACCCATTCCCATTTTTTTCTCTATTTAAAATATATTTATTATATAAGCCATTACCAATTGTATTTATAGGAAAAAGTATTCTATTTATTTATTATCGATATTACTCAACGAACCTTTGTGAAACTTTATTGCGTGTTACTCTCAAGTGTATCCTTTAATTTGATAGTTCCGAAGATCAAGACTAAACCATTAATTATTTTTTCATTCTTGATTTTGTTTCTTTTTTCTTTGCTTATTTGACAACAAACTAATGATCTTTTTGTAGTAGTTATTATATGTAAGTTTACCTTTTTTGTTGAAAAACATACTTACTATATACATATTATATATAAATTTATAATACGAAATAAAAAAATATATAACATACATATATTTTTATGCATGTGAACAATAAATTTTAAACAAAATGTGTAGATTATTAAAAGTGTAAAATTTCAAGGACCTAGATAAGAGTGGATATGATTTCTAAGGACCTATATAAGCGTAGGTTTTTAAATCGTATTTTTTTGGAAAAATTTTTGTAGATTTTTATTATAAAAAATTCCCTCAAAATGCCAGTATATTTATACCCTACACAACTATGTTGTCAGGGTATTATGGCTTTGTGCAGCCCCAAATGTTTGTAACGCCGCGAAATATGGGTCCTAGACCCACCTTTAAGTATACCGATCGTCATATCTCGACTAGCTGAGTCGATCTAGACATGTGTGTCCGTCCGTCCGTCTGTCCATTATAATTTGTAAACACGATACAGGCCACAGTTATGGACCAATCTTCACGAAATTTTGCATGTAGGATGGGTTCTGGCCAATGAAGACCCCTATTGTTTTTGGAAAAGATCGGTTAATATTTAGGGGATGAAATGGACCAAAAACATTCACCCCTATTCCGTAGTCACTTCGCATCGACATCGACATCACTTCGACACTGATTTGGTATCTTCACGAAATTTTGATAATATCAATAAAAACAAAAAAATTGTTGCATAGGCAAAAATGAGTTTGTATCCGTCACCTCACTGTGGCACAGGGTAAATGTGTCTGCAATGACCAAAAAGAAACGAGATAGACCCATAGTTTCTTTTTATTATATATGTACATAGAATTATTTTTCAGTCGATTTATTGTCCCTCCATCCATGTATTATTTTAAAAAGTTACATGCCACCATTATGATCCGAATGGGATGAAATTTTATTTGGCGCATAGACGATTCCTGTTGATATTGGTCAAAATCGGTACAGACCAAATTTTTCTTTATTGTTCAATTATTTTTGTCTAGAATGATGGTTTTTCAGTCATGTTTTTTTTTTTTAATTTCTAAAAAAAATTGTTCAAACGCTTCGCGTCAACAAAAGCCAGAGCCCGTCACACATTATGGCCCAAACACCGCGAATTTTTGCATGGAGAAGGGTGATTATTTTTGTCGGTTTTTCGGGCCAGAGAATAAGCATTTTTGCATGTTTTGATAAAGATCGATCAATATTTAGCGGGTCAAATGGACCCTGACTTTTGTGTGAAAAATTGCCACATATGTATTCTATGGCATATATATTTACTCCTAGAAGATGTAGACCCCAGGAGTTGATAGCATATCCAAGAGGAGTGGTTGGCCTTTAAATTGATACCAAATATAGTGATGTATCTACTCAGATGTGGGAGATACAGTCAAATATTTACAGGTGCCTAAGTATTCAGATATTATTTAGTAACCCATTACTACATTAGAGGGGGAAATATAGCGCTGATGGCTTTGAAATTTTTCATGAAGTTCCAGTTATGGTCAAGAACAACGCCTACAATTTGCCGTGATGATCAGATTAAAATTTTGGGATGAAATGGACCGAAAACATAATTTTTTATGTGTTTTCGAGTCGAGTATAATCCGAAAATCACAACACAACCCACCGTGAAGGTAATCTGGACAAGTAATTAGAAGGACTATACTGAATATTCGAAAAAGTAAGGAAGAGGTGTTGTTGACCTCTAATCGGACAAGATTGGGCAAATATCACGAAATATTACTCAGACTCGGAATAAACATCCTCCGAAAGTTAGTGTTCGTGGTAGTTGTGTAGGGTATCATATGGTCGGCCCGTCCGACTATACTGCTCCGCTCACTGGTTTTAAAATTATTTGGTATTTTATTTATTCGCTAAAATTCTATGATGAAGAGCACCTTTTGCAGAATACAGAGTTTATAAAAATATATTATTCAATACATATACATTATATATATACACGATTCAAATGGGTTCATGGTGTGGGGCTAACACAATTGTATAGAGTATTATAAAGCTGAACAAATTCATAACATTGTTCACCTGAAATTAAGACAGAAAACCAAAAATGTTATTTCAATTAAAATTACCCAAAAAATAAATTCCACTTACTTTTCAAAAAATCTGTACTACCATGTTGCCGAACATTACGCATTTGAAAATATTTATAGACATTATAAAAGGTAATATCATTTTTAGTTTTCAAAGCAGCTTCCAGAAATTTTCTAGCCGATATACGTTCTGCTTCAGTGCTATTAATGGCCAAACGTAATGCATCAATTACCCGACCCTGACCCAGCAATACTTCGATGGCTATTTCATATGCTTTAATTTTATTCAACATATCTAAGGCAACTTGAGATACTGCACAATCTTCATTCGAATGTGATAGTAGATAACAGGCAATAGCTTTTGATTCCATCAGTAGGGAATATTCGACCAAACGACGCAACGTATCGAAACTTTTGTTACGTATCAATTCATTGATTATCATTTTACTTAAATCTTCTTGGGCTGAAATGTTATGTTGACACAGCGATTGCAAATAGAGCAGGAGAATGGTTTCACATTGCGGCTTCTCGGCAATCGATTGGAAGACCTGACTATGCATATCACATTGTTCGATTAATACTTTGGGTGGTGCCGGTAGTTTGGGTGTTGTTTTGACATTTGAAGGTTGGGCGGTTTGATTTTGTAATTCCAATTGTAACCAGGAGCTAAGAGAGAGTGAGAAATATACAAATTTTATATATAAAAATGAGAATAAATGCAGGTCTTCTTTGCAGGAAACTTAAATTTTTACAAAAAAAGGCCTTCTGGGCTTCTATGAGATGACCTTCATCTTTCGAAAAATCTTTTGATCGCATAACTTACGCATAAACCTTATTGATTTTATTGAAAATTGTCTCCAGTACGGGTAGAAACGAGCCATTATACTGTTCATTGACCAAGGTGCGAATGACGCGCAACAATGCCACCTTGCCATTATTTCGCTGCAACAGAAATTCGGTGAGGCGAATACGATCCGATATCAAAGTACACAGTGATTCAATATCCAAATGTAAATACCACATACAACCCAATTTGGCATCAATAACAATGTTCGGTTGAAACAGAACCCAATTGGTCGAGTCTGAAAGGGAAGCCTATAAACTTAAATTCATTTTTTTTAAATTTCCCAAATCTTACATAATTCACATTGTAAAATTTGTCCATCCGGCAAAAGGCTGGGTAATTTCAAAGCAAATGGCCGTATGGAGCGGCCAGCTGTTATGGGTTTGTGATAGGTAACATCATTGGAAACTTCACCGCTTAAAGATATATCGAATAGCAGTGATGTGGCCGATGCTTGATGATGTACTACTATGAGATTGTCGACAGTGTTTATTGCAAAACGTCCCACAAGACCAAGACGTAAGACATGACATTTACGCGGAGCCAGGCCAGGGCCATTTAAGAGGTAGACTTCCACTTCAATCATGCCAGAACTACTGGGTTGCAATATCAAAACAGCCATGACACCATAGATTTGTCCCAATGTCACCTTGCTCTCTTGTATTTCACGGCTGCCACTGCCCACTAAAAAAAGGAAAATCGGACGAATTAAAAATAACGCCCCCATCGAAACACGTCATACCCACACTCTAATTTTGGTAATTTCGTAATGGATTTTTGTTTGATCAACACCGGTATCAATGAATTTTGACTGTCCGTGGTACACAGTACCGCAATATTTGCTTCCGAACACCAGGCAAACCATTTAATACTTAAACTCATTGATTTTATCGACTTCACTTGGGACTTCTCTGGTATCACCGTAAATATTTCAACGCCGGAATTCGATATCAAGGCACATTCACGATTGTGAACCCACACAAAGCCATATACCAAGGCTTTCACCTGATGTACTATGATATTCTGCAGTTGTGGTTGATCACCATGAAAGTAAATAAATTCCACGGAATTTTCACGTCTTTGTACGGCCAATATTTGATTGTCGGGTGAGAATTTTATAGAACGTATCGCTCCGCGATCGGTCATACAAAACGATATGACTTTATCCTCTGTGGGACCCTTGACCACAACACCCGTTGCACCTCCCGAGCGTACTGCAAAGATCTAAAGGTGATTCATATAAAATTATAATTAGGAACCATGGTCCATATTTGTTAGTATTTACCTGCTTATTGGAATCATCGAAGAAAACATTGGTCAACTGGCTAACAGCATCGAAACGTATTGGATTTTTCGATAGCTCAATATAATGGACTGATTGTTCCATTGTTCTGTTTTTCCTCCAGTTAATTTGTGAGCAATGCCAGACTTTAAGTGGAAATCAAACTAAAGTAAACTGATGAATAAAGACACAGCACAAAGCAAATTTCGCAAATGTTTAGAATTGTACAATAAAGCATAAATTGGAAAATATTCCAAGTTCAAATAAAGGATTCACTGAGATGAACCACTGAATTGGAAGGTTTGTTATGAATAGGGTAAGAGGGAAAATCGTTTAATGTTATGAATGAAGAATTAAAGAAAATGCCGTGAAAACCTTTGTATTTACGAATGGGAAGTGACAAATCATGAAAACACTTGTTGAAATCGATTACTAAACATAACTCAGTGGAAGTGATTACCGATTATTTTGTATTTGGTGTCCACATAATCTGGTATAAAATATTCGAAAGTGGCTCCAAAAATATATCGTTTCATATTTGAAGATCCCTCTCTCTCTCTGGGCTAAGGAGAAGTTTCCTGAAGACCATAAAAGGAATGCTGCCTGTTCGATCGAAATGGACCCGTCAAAGTAGAGGCAGTACACAGCTGCTGTGGCGCAGATATTCAATGTTCGTTGAAGGACTATACTAAACAGGGATAGGGGACCTTATGAGAATGCTGTAAAAATGTCGACTCTAATATCAGAGGTGAGTTCAATTCAATTTTATTCCAAATTATGGGTGAACCATGGGGGTGAGCATTCAAAATACCTAAAACCAGTCAGGATTGCTCGATATTGTAAATTGTCCGTCAGGATGTTTATTAACACCTGGGAATCAAGTTTCCAATGAACAGACACTTAATCTGTATAATGACCATCCGAATGTATAAATTTCAAGCGTCCATTAAATGAGGGGCTTTCAAATATGGTATTTCAAGAACCCCGTTTGTCAAATTGCATTCACGTTGGTTGGATTTTTTTTTTTTTAAATCTTCAAATTCGGAGTAGTTTTTATTATGGTATTTACGATTGTATGAATTTATGTTTTAATTTTTTGAATTTTTATGGTTATTTTTTTTGCATTTTGTAATTTATCTTTAATGGGCCTGAAGGCTTTGAATTACAAGTTAAATAAAATTGAATTGAATTGAAAAAAAAAAAAAATTCAAATTTTTTTAAGGAGACTATGTCAAAGCTATGCTTGGAAATAGCGGCGAGACATTGGAATACGTGGTAGTAGTAATCGTAAAATAAAGGACAGATCTATGGTATATTAATACCACAACCCAGTAGGTCTGGTATGACAGGTCTGGTTCCACGTAAATGGCATGTCTTACGTCTGGGTCTCGTGGGACATTATTGCATAAACATCGTCGATAATCTCATTGTGGTATATCACAAGCCCATAAAAGCTGGCCGTTCCATTAAGCCATTTGTTGGGAAATTATCCAGACATATGTACGTAGGATGAAAAAATTATAAAACCAACTATTTTGAAAATATATTCGATTCGGTTTGTGCGTAAGATCATAGAAAGGAACTCCTTTTGATAAATCCATTAAAAAATAGACGGACTCTTTTGGAAGGCCAGAATATCTTATTTTAAAATGCACATGAAAGCTTCTTGTAGACGATCCATAAGGTCTTTTAATGGATGAACTTAATACCTTATTTTTGTAGGCTCAGAAAGTCTACATATAGAAATAAACACAGAAGGTCTTTTTATGAATGACCCTAATATTGATATAAAGTACCAAATGGTCTCCTTATAAAGGACCAAAAGGTCTTCTTATAGAGGTCCAAATTGTCTTCATATAAAGGACCAAATTCTTATAGAATACCAAAGGGTCCAGAAGATTTTTTTATAGAAAACAGAAATTCAGAATGTTTTCTTATGAATGACCCAAAAGTTATTTTTTAGAATGACGAATATTTTCTTATATGGAACCAAATAGTGGTCTTATAGAGGACCGAAGGGTCATCACAAAGTATGATCAGAAAGTATTTTCATAGAATGTCTCTCTAAAAGAAAGCTCAGAATACCAGAAGACCAGAAAAGGTTTTATTTAAGGAGCCACACTTATTTATATACATAGGCCCTTGAATGATATTATTTAAAAACCCAGGCTTATATGTGTTCTCGAAAAAATATGATTTAAAAATCCACGCTTAAATAGGTCCTTGATTTTTTTTTCAAAATTCTATACAGCTGTTCTTCTTGCAAACAAAGGCCTCTCAAAACCAAACGTATATTCAACTGTTCGTTCGAACCAACATATCCATTGTCCATGGATCTATTACCAATGACAATAGATGTTATACTATTTTTCGGGTTTTTAACAATTTATTTTCATGTGGAATATCCACTTTTGTGTAATTTATTTAAATTATATTCAAATACACAACAAAATTGTATTATATTCAAATAAACATTTTTACTCAATTTCTTCAATTAAATATTCCATATAATCGGCATCTTCTTCAATAAGATTGTCAACATCATCCACATCAATCATTTCGACCATTAATAAGTCATCATCTGCCTCGCTACAGACAACATTATCATTCGTCTCTGCAACATTTGACTTCTCAACTGATTTATCATTGTTTACGGTATCCTTAGTAACGGTTTTCTCTTCTTCCCCTTGCAATGGATCTTTATCCTCATCAGCATCATCTCCTTTGTGATATAATTGTTTGTGTTTTGTCAGCGAACCTTTCCACACAAAACGTTTGCCACATATATCACATGCAAATGGCATACCACCCTTGTGTACCAGATTTTTGTGTTTCTTCAATGCCGTTTTCCATTTGAATTTCTTGTCACATTGGTCACATGGATACGGAATCACTCCCTTGTGTGATAGCTCATGATGTTTTCGATTAAATGCTGTGGTGAAGGTGGCATCACACACACTACAGCTAAATAGCTGTGGTTGTTTGTGGACTTTACGAATATGATTGCCACGATATGCTGAACTTTTACATACCAACGGACAATATGGGCAGGGATATTTCCGAGCGAAAGTATGGATATTTATGTGACGATTCATTTCACCGGAGGTGTACGTTCGATGGCCACAATATGGGCATATGTGATTCTTCACGCCACTATGACGTCTCTCGTGAATTCGGTAGAGGGACAATCTTTGGAATTTGGCCGAGCAGCCTTTTTCATCGCACACATATGGCCACAGGGAGTCGTCTTTGTGTACAAAACGATGCGTTCTCAAATGTATGGCATGTTCAAATTGTTTATCGCATATTTCGCACGAATATGTGGGTTTTTCTTTTTCACATTTGTGCGTGATCATTTTGTGTTTGTTCAGAAGGTAATGGCTGCTGTAGAGCTTTTCACAATTACCAATATTACATTTGAAACTATGCCGGCTTTTGTGATCGTCCAAATGTCGTTCTAACATTTCAGCGGTCGAAAAGTTGCGAAGACATTTTTCATATGTACAAGTGTGGCATTGGGTTTTAGAAAATCGATGTTGACGTTGATGGGCTTGCAAGCGGAAATACAATGAAAAGGTTTTTGAACAAAGATCACATTTATAGGGTGGTTTTCGATTTGAAAACATACTGGTCGTGGAAGGGTTTGCCGCGGCCTAAAATTGAAATGAAATCAATAAATAAATAGCAGTGGGATTTTTTTCTACTGCGATCATAACAATAAGTGATCTTACCAATTCTTTAGTGGAGGTATCCAAGATTTTTTCGGCCGATTTGTTTTTCTCAATGGCCAAGGGATCTGTATGATCATCTAATTCAAGTTTAATTCCAGTTGGCTTTTCTTCCATATCCTCCTCATTATTGTCGTAATTTTTAAACGTCTCATCACCTTTATTAGTTTCAAAATTACTGCCATAATCGATACTATCATCCAAACTATCTTCAATCTCAAATATTTCACTTTTCAGCTGATTTTCTTCGATTTTAATTTCATCTTGTATTAATGTGTCATCCGTAATTTGTTCCTCTGTGTTGAAATCAATACTATCATTCGTTTGTCGTTCTTGTTCGTCGCCATTATTTAATATATCGTTAAATTTTTCCAAAGAATTTTTACACATTAACTTGAATTGACAAAAATCAAGAATTTTGTTATAGCATTTTTCGCAAATCGAATTTGGATATTCATCAGCTGATTGAATATTTTGATGGACACACATTCTTAACATTTCCACTAAATCGGGTGTTTCGAAGATATTCTGCGGTTTGGTATTTTCAACTGTTGTTCCATTGTCATTTCGAATTTGTTGTAGACATGTTCGACAATACATATCACACTTGGTTGCTTTTGGTGGTGGCGGTGATGGTGGTGGTTCTGGCATGGATTGTTGCCTAAAAAATACGAAATTAATGATACATTCAATAATTTGAACTTGAAAAATATTTTGTATTGTCTATTAAAAATCTTGGATTTTTTTAAATTTGTATTTTAGTTTATTAAGGGCCTAAAAATAGGATTCGTTTTTTAAAATATTTTTTCAAGGCGTGTTTTTTAAATATTTTTCGAGGTCTATCTAGGCGTAATTTTAAAAAATATATATTTTTTCAAGGCCTATCAATAGGCGTCGTTTAAACAAATATTCACCCCTATTCCGTATGTCGTCGTCGTTGTCGACGACGTTTCTCTTTCGACATCACTTCGCATCGACATCGACATCACTTCGACACGGATTTGGTATTCTGTAACACTCACACGACGATGTCGACTATTTATCGATAATATCAATAAAAACAAAAATTTTGTTGCATATTTTTGGGCAAAAATGTGTTTGTATCCTTCACCGCACTGTGGCACGGAGCATTATGTCTTGGTAAATGTGTCTGCAACGACCAAAAAGAAACGAGATAGACCCATAGTTACTTTTTAGTATATATGTACACAGAATTATTTTTTAGTCGATTTATGCATGTCTCTCCATTTATGTATTATTTTAAACAAGTTACATGCCACCATTATGATCCGAACGGGATGAAATTTGGAAAAAAATCCATCCAATTGGGATGAAATTTTATTTCCACATAGACGAGTCCTATTGACATTGGTCAAAATCGGTTCAGATT